GGGTGAGGGGTACTTACAGGGGCGTGGGTGAGGGGTACTTACAGGGGCGTGGGTGAGGGGTACTTACAGGGGCGTGGGTGAGGGGTACTTACAGGAGCAGAAGTGACTCGAAGACAAACGGATGCATTACCAAGACCCACCCCAGCTCACAACATCCGGGAAACCCAGAGCACGCTGCACAGCCTGCAGACAGTTCAACAGCTTGAAGAGTGTCCTGAGTGGTTTGGTCTAAGCCCCTTCCAAGCTGTTAGACTGGCTTCTGCTTCTCTCAGGTCTGGTCTTGAAGGGAGCAGGCAAAAGCACCTTGGCTTAAGTACTGCCATTTTGACTTCAGATTCCCTTTTGCCTGTAGGGTGAAGTTTAGTTCAGATTCTCAAGTCCTAGGGGAGCTGAGAACTGACCAACATCCTCCCTCAACCAATAAAATAGTTGTTAGGCATCTTTAGTTCTTTAGAAACATTGTGGCTGTTCCTAACAACAGAAGAAACAAATGAATCCGATTGGTTGGACTGAAAGGATTACATTGTATATCAGTCAACAATGATGGAACAGTCAAGGAAGCCCCTAATTTCTAAATCCTGAATGGCAAAAATTGTAACCGTAACTTGGCAACAAATGTTTGCAAATTTTATGCTTATAAACCCTACTTCTGCCCCTACTAGGGGCTGTCAGGAGAAGCAAGGCTCCCGAGTCCTTGTCTTGCAACCCTGATCAATGAGTGACCTGCTTTGCTTATGTTGTGAACTATTAAAATCTTTGAAACCCACAAGTGTTGTCTCTCTTCTCCTCGTGGAGCATAATGGGCTAGGTATAACAGTCTCAAGAGTTTTCATTGCAAGTTTTCTGATCATCGGAAAGGGATTCTCAGTTTTTATTACTCTGGCAGAGCAGATCATAGTGAATCTGATCAGTTTCAGGGACTTCCTGAAGCAGTTTTGAGTTGTTTGTATTCCTGATTAAGGAGCTTGCCTACAGGGAATGTTTCAATCTAGGATTAAATTATTACACAACAATCAGTACCATAACTAGAGTTTCATCATTTTCATGTGCCACAAAATATAATTAATTTTTTTAAATTATGCCATACTTTAGGTCACAAGTCTAGGCCATGTGACTAAGCCAGACTCTGTGTTTGGAGCCTTAGTGGATGAAATCAAGAGTGTAGGCCTCTGAGACTTGGGATGCTCCTCCAAGCCCTCTGATTGTTGTTTGCAGAATTCTTCCTTTTGGCTGTAGAGCTGAGGCACCCACTGTCTCAATGACTTGTCTAGGGACCATTCTCACCTCTTCAAGTCCTTGTCCCAGGGTCCCCTCCATGTAAGCAACATTCCCTCACTGCAACCTCTCTTTCTCTGTGTCTCTGTCTCTGCTCTCTTTAAGGTTGGATATTAAGTTGCCCAGGCATTACTCTTGAACTTCTGGACTCACATGGTCCTCCTGCCTTTCTCCAAGTCACTGGGCCTACGGGTACCCACTCCTGTGTCTGCTCAAGCCTTCTCTTGCTTGGACTCGATAACGTCCTCATCTCTAAACAGCTGGAGAAAGCCCTGCTTGTGGAGAGCTTGCACCACTAGACTAGGTCAGGCCTGCCAAATGATCTCTCCAAGATCACCAACCACAGGAGTCATAGATCCATAGCTCCACCACACTGGCCCAGGGAATTAAAACAAGATGAGAGGCTAGGCGTGGTAGTACATACCTGGGATACCTGGGAAGCTGAGAC